ATTTGTATTTTAATTTTACAAAACTGCATCAATTAATCTTTCTTAACCCCCCCCCCCTCCCTAGTGCGACGAACTACTTTGACTACAGAAGTGATTACTCCACGTCAAATGCAACGACGTGGTGGCGGTGGCGCTAGTGGTTATCGTCAAACAAACAATAGTCTGCCCAACTTTAAACCACGTAATATGAGTCATCCATCTCCGAATGATACAAATAATATACGTAGTAAAATCAATCACCCAGTGGCGTCCACATCGACTACCAACTTAAATATGAATCAAGCTAGCGGTGGTGGTCTTTTACATAAATTACGTAAACAATTCCATTCTGGTCATCATCATCTCAGGTAGTAGTAGTAGTAGTAGTAGTGCAATGTTCCAATCATAATTGTATAAATTCACCATTGAACTTGTAAATTAGTCCTCATTCTTTCGGTTTTCTTTTCTGTTTTTTTTGAAACACAAACCAACAAAATTCATTTACACTGTGATTGAAACTTTTCTTGAAATTTATTTTTACTCTGTGTGTGTGTGAATTTTCTTTTTTGGCTATATCACACATACACGCATACACACACACACAATGAACTAATATTCCATGAGGTTCTTCTGTTTTTCGATTGTACATTGAATTGTAAAATAAGTACTTTGTATGTATGTTACACAATATATATTTCATTTGTTCTCATTATCAACCTAATTTACTTTTCTTTTTCCGTTGAAAATTCTTCTCCATCTATGTAAACAATCATCCTATTTGAATCTGTAGCCACCATTGTCCACTCATCATTGATTACTTCTTTTCTGTTATAACGCTTGTATTGACTTGCTCTACACAGTGCTCCATTCGACATTCGAATTAAGAATGACATAGTTTTATCTCCTTTTGGTCGGAATTGGAAAAGGGAAGAAGCCCAGGGGCTAGAGAAAGTTGGAGAACACTGGTCGGCGGCTTATGCTTCATTGAGGATGACAGGCGTAAATAAGTATCTCCTGATCACATGTAGTTTTCATCAACACACCTGACAATTTATGTGATATCAACGGATGGCGAAAGTACATGTGTGTCATGTCATGTCCAATACCTGTCTGACTATCTTTAGCGTGTGTGTGTGTGTGTCTGTGTTATGTGTTTAGGTTATTTGTTAAATAACCAATCAAAATCTTCCTTTGCTATTTATTTACACACATCATTTTGTACATGGCGCGCGGTTTGATGAAAATGTTCACGCTTCTAGTCCTACATAAATACATTTTTTTTAAAAAAATTCACCATATGATTTAATAATGCTAGGTTTTTGTTTTTCTTTTCTAACTCATAAATCTTTAATTCATTCTAACAAAAAAAAACATGCTTTCAGGAATCAAGACAGCCTGTTAAATATATGAGACAAAAAATTATTTAAATTCCAAATTGAATGATCTTTCTCTAAGTCTGTTTGTTTAGTCTTATTTTGCTAATTGGCTTCATTCTTGTATTCCAATATTTTGTATATAAAATTGTATTACCCACTTACTTACTTACTTACTTACTTATTTATCAACTAACTATGCCTACTCATCAGCATCATAATGTGGTCAGTAAAAATGTATGTATGTGTGTGTGTGTGGGTGTCATTTGTTCTTGTCAATCTATCAAACACACACACACACACAAAATATATAAAAATGATCATTGTCGATAGTTTTAATATACACATGACTGCTCAATGTTCGTTCGTTTGTTCTTCTTTTAATATCCCTTCATATGTAAAAAAAATCTTTGTGTTCAATTGATTTTTTATGTCAAGCTTTGCTATTCCTTTTGATTTCCACATATTATTTATCTACACTCTATTGGGTTGTGTTTTGGGTTTCTTGGCGTATCCTTCGTGTTTTTTTTTATTCTCGTCAGGGAAATAAATAGTTGTGTCATTTCATGAAATTCCTGCTTACTAGTTAATTAGTTAGTTATTTAGTTAGTTAGTGAGTGTGTTGTTGTTCATTGTGCCTTTCTCATGTTGTGTTTTTATTCCAGAATGTGTGTGTGTGTCTCATCAATATAGTAGTGTCATGGTGTATTTGTATGCATGTACCAGGTATCTTCTCCCGTATCGTGATAATAATGTTGTTTTAATGAAATAGCCAAATTCAATGTGTTCTTTTTTTGTTTTACTACTTGTGTATTTAATGCGAAAGCAAGAAAAAAAAATAATTTGAAAATTTCATTACAAAATAGTTTTCGTTTTAATGTATTGCAGGCATGTTGATGTGTGTGTGTGTGTGTGTGTTAAGTGACTTTGATGAATACAGTGGTTATTAAGTAGAAACAACTTTTTCAAATAAAATTTTAGAATTGATTCTATATCATGGTAATAATCAACGGTAGAATTGTTGATATGAGTAATTGTTCTTAGTTTATACTTTACTTTTGAAAATACTAACAGTCAGATAGTTAGTTACAATTTAGAACTTCGCACGTACATACGTACATCAGTTCATGTTCCCAGACAGACAGATACAACGCAGAACTTCGTACATAAGTACATCATTTCAGGTTGCCATACCACACTGTCAGTTCAAATCCAAGAGTGATAGTGATAGTAGAATTATTAGCAGTAATGGAGAAGATTAGGGAGCAAAGATATGATTCGAAAAGTATAATTCAGTGAGATAAATTTAGAAGGACAGAGGTAGAGTTTATGAGGAATGCAGAAGGTTAGAATTAGAGAGAACACAAAGAGTGGATGCACCTGCGCCATTGCAAACGATTCTGAGCCATATCGTTCAAGGTCTCTAACCATCGGTGACTTTCGTCTCGCGGACCCCAACCACGTAGCCTACATCTACCAACATGACTCAGTCCACTTGTCAGTGAGTTCATGGATTTCTGCCATGTTTTGGTCTGACCGCCCCTAGATTTCTTCCAACCTACTCCTACACCAAAAAACATAGCTCGTCGCGGCAGTCTGTGGTTAGCCATACGCAATACATGTCCCAACCACCAACTAGTGAAGTTTCAGTGCTTCATCTATTGATTTGACATCCTTACCTAGAACTCGTTTCTTAACGACAGCATTGCTTACTCGGTCGTCCCACGATACACGAGCAATGCTTCGGATACACCTATGATCGAAGACCAGTAACCTACGAATGTCCTCTACTTTTAACGGCTATGTTTCGCATCCGTATAGTAGGACAGAGCGAACTGCTGCTCAGTACACCCGTCCTTTGGTTAGCAAGCGGATATCTCGCCTGCGCCATAAGTGACGCAGGTTGGCAAAAGCCAATCGAGCCTTCTGTATCCGAGCTGAGATTTCGTCAGTCACCAGGCCATCGGCAGTGATGAGACTCCCCAGATAAGTGAAGCGGTCTACACGTTCGACTACTTCACTCCCTATTAAGTTCATGTTGCCATACCACATTAGCACATAGATGCAATTGTCAAATGAAATCTCATAGTAGTAGAGGTAGTAAAAATAACCGGTATTGGGAAAGATTAGGGTTCGGAGATATTATTCAAGAAGTATAATCCAGTGAAATAAACTTAAAAAGAAAGATGATGTAGAATCTAGAAGATTAGAATTTGAGAGAACACGACGAGTGGATGCACCTGCACCATTGCAAATGATTTCGAACCATGTCGTTCAAGGTCTCTAACCATCGATTACTATCTTCTTGTGGACGACAACCAAATAGCCTACATCTATCAACATGACTCAGTCTAGTTATCAGTTACTTCATGGATTTCTGTCATATTTTGGCGGCAGGATTTTGATGACAGTGAAATGGATGAATCAGTGGTAATGTCAGCATTCATATGCGAAAGTCAATATAAGACACTCCCTTCTATTCAACCTGAAAAGATCGTTATAAACGTAGAATAAATTAGTTTCCGAAAGTTTGCATGATACCATTCATTTTATTCGGAAACTTTTCTTTTCCACTAATAAATTCCCTGTTACAGTCGATAGTAGATAGATTCCGTCCTCTCTCGAAATACTCTTACACCGCCACTGCTAGGTAGGTTCTACTCAATACCCCATGGCAAGAGTGTTGTTTACGAAACTAAGAGTATGAAAAGCAAGTGTCCGTCGCTGTAACCGGGTTGGTGGATACTAGGGCTTTGCGTAGGAGAGATGGAAAATGAGAGTAATAAAAGTTATGGAAGAGGTTCAGTTCAGAAAAATGTAACCAGAAAAGATTTATTCGATCTTCGAAGTTCCTCTCACTCATGTTAAGAAAGTTAGATGGAATCCGTAATAGATGGATTCCCCGTTGGTTGTTACGTAGATGACGTTTGGGACAACTATCGATTTATTTCACGATTTTGAAACGCTACTAGATAAACGGTTGTAAACAACTCAATCAGTCTCATAGAAGGTCGCTACCGTTTTTAAAAAGGGCTAGAGGCAAGTAATTAAATAGATCAATTGTCACCGGCCGCCTGATCGATCTTGCAGAGACAGCGGATTAGCTGAACTGTTCCTCGAAAGATTCTGTGCATTGTCCAAGACATTGGTGGATGTTATTAACGGGCATCCCATTAGCTTCACCAGTCGTTTCACTGACAACAAACCTCTTGCTACCAGTGGCTCAAATCAGTTGGAAAAGCTTCCAGCAGCTACTACTTCCAGCCCGTTAGCACGTTCCAACCACTAAGTTTCCTAGCCCTCACTGAAACTTTGCACCATTTAATTAGGTAACAGTCTTCTTTTATCGTCTAACTCCCGGTTACTCAGAGTAGAGCACTAAAACCTCAACGAGTTGTAAGGAGCCTGTAGGAATACAGTTTTTACAAGTGGAATGTTTCGCAAATCGGTAAGAGTCTATACTCGTTATTTTCATCTACATTAATCTAGCAGATGTGATTTATTATATATTCCATAGCATAGATGCTGTAAATTTTGTTTGCGAATATAATACCTATTTCGTTTGGATAATTTAGAACGTATTTAGAAATCATCAGAAATTAGACTTTACTAGCACAACTTTGTTCTATGTTATCTTATCCTCTTGTTAGAAGCTCATTCATAGATGATTTTTCCTGACTTAGTTCTCAAAAACATCCTTACAAACAGCGATAAAAGGAAATGGGCAAGCACATGTTCAACATTTTCGTGGAGACCAGAAATGACGTTTCGTGAACTCGCACTGTTTGCATTAGCTGCGCAGTGTGATAAATGAGTGTGAGAAGAGTTAGTCGTGGAGATAAGAGAGGTTTTAGGTGGTGTAGGAAGGATTTGATTTTGACCAATTTGGTCTCTCGTGCTGTTACGGGTATGAAGGCGGTTGTCACTTCCCGGCTGCCCACACCGTGGAAGGTTGTTTCTTGAGGGACCTGAACAGGAAGATGGATTAGTGTTGGTGCGTGACCGCAGAGCCCAAGGGACAACTGCTTGAGGCCGGTCACGCACGGCCTTTTTATGAAAGGTATTTTGAGAATTAGCTCCGTTCTTAAAGGCCCTTAGTGGGCACCCTTACCCAAGGAGACGGAAATCCGTGAGTTCGGGGAGGTGTGACATTTTTAGGGTCGACCTTTTCTAACCCTTCCTTCCTTGTGAGAAGGCAGCATCACTGCAGATGCTGGTTGTCCGAGGGAAACACCTTACTGCTGTCACACCCCTCAGCAGTAGTCAGCAGTACGACTTCGCCCTCAGACCTTGAGTAGCTGCTTTTAGTCTGATCGTTCTCCAATCGTCCTGCGTGGCATGGTAGAACCTTCAGGAACATATGTTCCAGCCAATATAGCTGGGCTGGGTTATTACGATATTGAAGCCCGACCACCACATGTCAAGGTAGCAGCTACGGTCGTACTATATATATATATATTCCTTTTCAGTTGTATGAAATAAACATTAAACAAGGCAGTAGAAAAGTGATCAAACAATCAATGAATGTAAATAATAATTTTCCAAAAGAAAATAAAAACTTTTTTTGATTTGCAAAAGTTGCCAATTTTTACATCAGTAATTCTATCTCACTTCTTAATCTTACTTAATAAATCGTTCATTACACTTGAGTAATATGAACATGGACTTTTGTAAAGTAGGCTTATATATATATATATATATATATATATATATATATATATATATATATATATATATATATATATATATATATGTATATTCAACAATCAATAATCATTTCGACAGTCAATAAGTAGAACACATTGATTTCATAGTTAGTTTGTTTTATGCTGTAAAATTGACTCCTTTTTTTCTTCTGTTTCCACTAGTTGAATTAATTCAGAATTTAAAAAAAAAGATTGTACTCAATCAATATAATCAGTGGGTAAATTTTTTCAGTTTATATTATGGATGGAATTTTAACTAAACAACTATTGATAATCAGGAAAAAAAATTGAACATTGTGTACTTTGATGCATTGGTA